CCCTCTGATTTCCATTTCAGAGTGTTGTACTAAGAGTGTGATGGCGGAAACCTGCCCAATAAATAACCAGCCTTAATACAGCGTTTAATCAGTGCTGAAATACATTTAAAATGTGATGTGGGTAGTTGCAGAGGGACTGAAAGATGATTTTGAAATTGGAAAAGGCTTTGTAGAAATCAGCACCACAATAGGTGAAATTATCTGTATCTGGGCACAAATGAAGTTAATTTAACGAGAAAATACTTTTCGTTGAAGATTTTGAAGAGCATAGTTTATGCGCAGGAGCTAACATTACCTCCTTGATAATTTGCGGATGATTCTATTAACGTTAGAAATCGAGCATCATTTGGACGCTGGACTGGTTTTACCACAATCACCTTCTATGCAAGCTAGCCGTATACTGTACTATGGTTAGCTTCCAAATAACTAGGCCAACGGAAGGCGATGAGAGTAATTTACAGTGATTAAATGTTAATTACTGTAACAGAAAATATGAATCACGAGGATTTAGATAATGTCCAGACGATGGCATTTTCATGTCATTAAATATTGAAGTTAAAATATATGTTAACAACACAGACTGTCCGTATAATACGTCTAGAAAACATCTTCCATCGATAACATTGATTCAGGTACTCAAAACAATGGTTTTATTACAAAAATAAAAATATAGGTTCTGCTTTACTGCAAAATACAGCGTCCTTTAATCAACGACAACACCCGAAGGTGTAGTCCTGCAAGGCAAACTCCGTCTCGCCTTGACTCTGAACTGCAGAAGTAATCCGATTACAAAATGTAGCTCTGAACTGCAATGGAGTCACTGTGTGGAGTGCTCCCCCTGCTGTCACCGTTCATGTTTGCTTTTATTGGACCATCGTTCCACGTGCCGATAATTGCCGTCAGGCACTGTTCCATTTCTTGGCTACACTGTAAAAGAAATTAAGGCCACAGTGTAGAACATCTCCGAAGTACTTAAGGGCAGATTCCAGGTATTTACAACCTGCTATAAAATAACATTTCTATTAGGCCGATATTGTTTTATATGCAGAAAACAATTGGTCCAATAATTCATAAAAGACGTACATGGGATATTTGCTTTTTGCACACAAAAAAACAAGTGTTTGCCTGCAATTTCTTCCAGTGTTTTGACTAGGAGCTCACCGAAAAAAGTCTTGATTTCAGAAGAGGATGGTTTTGACCAATGCTTGTAAAATAATAAAACAAACTTAAAAGGGGGTTTTCATGTAAGAACTTACCTATGGGACTAACATAAGGGAATTTGGGATTATGGGGTATAAATTCCTTGTGATTTTTACCAAATTTTTCAACAGACGGTAAATTGGTTGCTCCGGTAATCCATATTGTGAAATAGAGGCTCAAGTCTGGGGTGTTGCCAAGATGTGGTGAACTCTTCTGTGTCAAGTGGCTAGAACTTGGGCTTATGGGTATTATAGACTTGCCTGACCTGAGTGTAAACTTTGGTGTGGTTTTTATTCTGAATACAATTTAAATCTGAGTAATATTGTTCTAAAACAAAAAAAAAATGTAGCACATACTTGTACAGGGGGTGCAAAACGAATTGCTCTTTGTACAGGGAGTGTACTCCAGGGTTATGGGAACAACGTAGCTTCTGGTAAACAAGCCACACAGAACACACCTCAGCAAACTAAATTTTCATTTCTTCAACATCACGATTGAAACAAAAAAAGAACACACTTTGCGATAAGAAAACAATTAACTAGTACTTTGTGTGCTCAGCTTCCCCCCAACCCTAGTGACTTGTGCTTCAAATGGTTGAAATCAGACTTTATGGTGCCGTAATCTACACAGTATATTGGTGGCACATAAGGAAATGTATTAGTGCCAAAGTGAAGGCAGTTGAACAATTTGTTTAGGACAAAAAAAAAAACCCTCAAGTCTTGCTTTTGGAAGATGGCATTAGAAAAAGGTCACAGAGCAGAAAAGTTTAGACTCGTTAAAATTGTTCAGATGTAAGTTTGGTTAGCCCAATTTAGAGGGGAGCACAGAAATAAGAAATGCTGAACAGTAGCTGATTGCTCTTTAAGCAATTTCAGCATTCAGTAGGCTCAACTAGACTGAGTTGAAGCCTTCTGACTGTTGAAGGCTCTCAGTTCATCCGATTTTCTTTGTCTTTATATCGCTGACATCTTTAAACCTGTAAAATCTATTAAAATGGCCTTATTAAGCACATGATTAGGTAACAAGTAAAACTTTTGGCAGAATGATAACCGAGGAAGAATGTAGTCCTCCTAAAGTGAAGCTTTACACTATGAAGTTGTATACTGTGTTCAAAGTCAATTATCACAAAGTCTCAGCCTTATCTGACTGCAGGCTTTCACGAGTCTGTCATTATTCCAAAGTTCTAAGCGTGGAATTGAAACAAGTCCACAAGAGCAAAGAACACACTTGCACACTCTGCAAGATGTGGGATCTAAATCAGTACCTGGCAGTGACAATCTGTGTTAATTGTGCTTTATGATTTCATTAATGTGTCCATGCATAAAACCTTACCTTCTCACTGCAGAATCATACTATTAAACAGATCAACATCCTAAGTATTGATCGTACTAATAAATCTGTATGTTGTTGCACCTATACAACGCACCAGGGACAAAGGCCAAAAATAAAAATAATTCTTTTATTTACTCTAAACAAATTGTCTTCTTTCATGTACTATTTTCAGGCAGAGGTTTTTAGTTTTCCCATTATACCCACCAAATCAATCTCTCACTACCTAACATCTATTTCAAACGGCACATTCTTTTTTTCTCCCAAAGTACTTAACAGCTGGGTGGCAGTACACTTGTGATGAAGACAATTTACAAAATATTTCTTCTCATGGCAACTCATTATTTAAGAGTGCTGCAGTTGTCCCATTACCCCCTAAGGTTGCCCTCTTATTTGATTTCTGCCACTGCACAGGCAGAAATATTCCAGAAAGAAAGGAGAGAATGCAATTCTAATGTTTAATTTCTTGTCATACATTTGTCCTGTCGCTCTTTTTTTGTTCTGCGTGGAATGATGCCTGACACATTAATTAACATGCCAGCAGCTCTTCTGAAGACAAGTCAAAACTTGTTTTTCACGAAACAGCTCGATGACATTCTCAGATCAACAGGGAAACAAACCAATAACTAAAAAGAGGTGAAAGGAAATTCTAGAATTGGTTCTGAAAATGAACACCAGCTTTACCACCGTATTAACTAAAAATCTGGTCTACTTTTATTAAATTTTATTTTACAAGAACACTTAATAGTTTTTCTTAACTTTTGGGGGGGGATTATGTTTATTACCGTTTCTTGAACGAGACCCTTAATGTTCCTCTATGGGACGATCATGGAAACATGATTTCAAGTAACTGTCGGTAATTTTACAAAAACCCTTGTTTTTAATTTCAACACGTGTAGCGGATCACCTTAATCCTCTCTTTTACATAGTAACCTGCATTTGTAATGTACACTTCAGTTACAAACCTGTAATCAAGAGAGGCCTTCTAGCATATTGTTATAAGAGTAAAGAAATGTCAAAAGGAGCAAAAAGAACTACTTTCAACAAGCAAGAAGGCAGGCAAAAACACATTCCTTTGCATTCCATCTGTCAGAAAGTCCTTCACCTTTTCCCTTCTTCACTTCAGCCTGCAGGATTTATAGATGCTTTTCGTATTTAGAGGTATGCTTTCAAATCACTCTGAAACATCAAAGAAGATTATTCACAGTACAGATCATATGGCTAATTCTCTTTTTGTCCTGCTGTGCATTTCACGTACGTGAACTGAGCTGACCCGCATTCCATGTGGTTCAAAGACAGTCCACCTCTGTCCCATCTATTCCTCCATCCACAGCTGCACGATCCTGAGGGTATGTTCTGTTCCTTGCTTGGGAAATTCTTGTTTTAAACCACACATTTCTCAATCGATAATCATTCGTGTTACCTTCATATCATTAAGAAAATAACCAAAATCAAAACCAGCAATTTTAACACTACTATTTTTACTTGAGAGAGTGCACAAGAATTGAAATTAAAATGTAAAATTCGGTATATCTTTGGTATCTTCTAAACAATTTCTAAAACGCTTTGGAAAGGAATATATATATATATTTTCTGGATTGAATTACACTTTTTTTGATAGGATAAAAATCAAATGACTGCAATGAAGGGAGAGGGCCTGCGCTTGATTTATAATAATTTCTTGCTGTAGAACTAAGACTTCAGGAATAGAGAAGTTATATTTCACTCACAAATTTCACAGAAACAGTAATGCAAATTAAAACAAGCATAAAAATTAAAAGTTTCACAGCTCCTGAGCCATTCCGGCTAAAAACCTCAAGCTCTAGCTGTAAGACTGCCATGTGAAACTGTCTGAAACTTCTCTTTCCTGTAAATGGGTCCATTCAAAATAAGTTTGCTTTGTCACTTGGTTTCATAGATTAACTTTATGGGGGAAGTACAATGTAATCAAGCTCACACAACTTATTAAAACATCCATATCTGAAAACTAACACTACAAAATTAGATAGCATATCTAAAAACTAACACTACTTTGCACTGCAAAGCTAAGTATTTTGCTTTCAAACCTTTAACCGAGAAGAAAGAGCTGTGAGACAATTAAGTGCTGCAAGAAAACCCAAATCCATTGTCAGTAACCAATGGCTGATTAAAAATAATTTGAAGTCAACCATACTGTAGCAACGCAAATGTTACTTGTTTTCTTTATTGTCCTTTTCTTCTCCTTAATGTACACAGATCAATGAAAGTTGGCAACATCCCCCAAAAAACAAAAGTACAAAGCATATATTTTGCAAAATATATACAAAGTTCCAATTTACAATTTTTGCTTTCCTTTCAAAACCAATGCCGTACCGCTTAGCAGCAG